CCGGTATACCTCACAGTTTTTTTTACCTTTTCTTTTTTTTTTTTTTTATTAAGGATTGAAAAATGGTTCTTTACTATTTCAACAACCGAATCATACACTAAAACAGCTTAATTTTCCCGAAAACTAACTTTGACAAATTTCACGTTTTAAAACTATAAAGAAAAATTGATCAAGCAAACACATCACTCCATTGCAACCAGTACATAGCAAACCACTTCCAATTATAAAATGTCGTGCCCGCTAAATATTTCCAAAATTCATACTTAGCGAAATCCACGAAATGAGGTGACCGCAAAAAAAAAAGTTGTTTACAGTACAACACATCTCAATGTCTCTGAGCCTCTAGTCAATGTTCTTCTCGAAGAAAAAAATGCAGGACGATGGCCAAAAAGAGAACAGATGTGAGAGGAAAAATTTGCGGCGGACCATTAGCTTAGTGTTTCGGGCCGAACTTGGCACGACAATGTTTGACACTCTCCTAAAAGAAGCAAACGCCGAAAATGAAGATGATTCACTAAGTGCCATGGCCATGAAAACTTCCCATGCCTCTCCGAGACGCCTGGCTATACTCATAAATAGCTTATAATGACATGTGGCGCGTCGTCGTCATTTCTCGGTGACATATCTGCACTCTTGAATACACATCGTGCTGCCAAAACTTAGCTTGGTGCATACTGAAAAAACAAGAAACAAATAAGAATACACACCCAGCAGCTCAAGGCCGTGGGCCATATAAAAAAAAAAAAGAAGAAAAATCTGTCAACCTTTGAGCTGACAGTGCTGTGGGAGTTATGTACTCGCCAGACGAATCAACCACCTCTGTATCACCACCTGACCCCGCTCCCTGCGCGTATGCATGGATGGCAGTGTAATCATGTGGCTAAAGGTAGACATCTGACTGGTCCGACAAGCACATAGCTTCCACCGTATTGTCAGCTTGGGAATGAAAGGTGCATCTGGTCCTTCCCGAAAAGAAACTCGTAGGCCCGTCGCAGCATAGCCCTAAGAGCGATCCACAAATCCAAGTTAATGATAGCAGCACCCTCTTTCGGTGCTTATTTCCTGCCAGTTGACTAATCCCCGTTGTTCAGATTTGGAAAGTAATAAGACACTTAAGACGCTTAGCATGTGGGAAGGACGTAAAGAAGTGAGAAGAAAATTTAAAGGGAAAACAAAGCAAAAAAGAAAAACCTTCTTCCAGGAAGAATTTTCGAGCGTCAGGCCTTAATCCTGGGCCGCTAGACAGCCACGGGAGGCAAGACTTTGATGAGTGACTACGACTTACACTACTCCGTTTCGATAAGTCGGAGTGTAGTCAAGGGCTCCAATACATAGACATATTAAAGGACCAATGCAACAATATTTGTACTTTGCGCAAATACCGCTTAAAACGGATCCCTAACGTTAATGACCTATGAAACACGCGTTCGTTTTTAACCCCACGCAATAGAAGTTCCAGAAAAAAATTTAAGAAAAACGAGCAGCGTTTACCCCCTCAACTCGCAGCCAGAACAAGCGGCCACGTGATCTGGAGCCGATTATATGCCGCCAGTGTTGATCATAGCCACGCGCTGGGGTTGGCAAAGCGCAGGACACGCGCTGAGTTCCAGGCATTGTTATGGCTCGGCTGTTGTCGTCGTTGCAGCGATTGGACACGGGTCAAAACCCGAATGCTTCTCGAGCTAGCAATTGTCACGAGCCCAAGTCGAGTGCCCACGCAATGCTCGGGTCCAATCTATGAACCGCATTCAAATATCGTCACTTGGGTGTACTGGGACCCCCGAGTTACGTCATCAAATTTTGCAAAGGAGAGATTGAATGAAAAGGATCGCTTTTGTCCTTGAAATTACACCGCAACAAAGGAGTTTCTTGGCCAATGGCGTTGCGTGTGAGTATCCTTGAGTCCCAGGTGTGCCAGTAAGCTCGTGTATAGAGAGATACATTCCAATTGAATATCGTTGCACAGCTCCTTTAACATGCACACTAAAAATGCGAGGTCACGCTGCATTCAATGTGGTTGACTGATTTATGAGCAATGCTACATGAACCACAGACATAAAGCGCACTCTCTCAAATTCATAAGAAAACGATGCTTGGACTTTTTCGTTCCAACTCCCAGACTTCTGGACATTTGCAACTGGCAGAAAGCCTTTTCAAAATCAGTGTATGTTCCGAATCGTTCTCCCACTTTCACTTCTATGACGGCACGTGCAATGAGCCGACCGAAGGGAAGGCGCAGCTGCACGTTGGCACACCACAACTCAGAATGAAAAACTCCATAGTATTCATATAAATACGCGAAGGCTCCCCGTGTCTGTGATCAGGCTGATTAGACAGATGACAGCGAGATGACGCCAGATTGCAACTTCCTTACCGCATACAGCACTACTCCTGATTTATATGGCTTGCGCTATGTCACACTAGCCAACGTTGCTCCCTACCATGCTCCTCCTGCCCGTACCTTCAAAAGCATTCGATTTGCGCCTTTGAAATGGTTCTTCTCTGCAAGTCATGCCAAAAGAACAAATTTCATGATGCAAACTGTGTGCTACAGAGGGTACCCGCACAGGAGCATGGTACGGCGCAATGGCGGCTGGTACGGTGCCATACGACGTCACGTGCAAGGCGCTTTTGTTGCTGCTTCATTGGCCCCACTAGGTTCTAACGTCGGCAACAGTGTGATTTCAGGTGACTGGCTAAACCGGCAAGCCGCGATCACTAAAGGCCACTTACCGCCATGACTGCGCAGTCGTTTTGTTCCGGTGCTCGCGGTCGGCTCTCTTTGGGGCTGCAGGGTCGGAAAGGCGCCCCTTTTCAGTCGGTGCTTGGCCTTCTTTCCTATCAGGTGTTCTGGGAAACACACCACGATGCAATCAATCCCTGTTGACCGTCTGAATCCATTTACTCCTCAGTCTAGGGTTTGCGGCAAATATGAAGAGCGACAGATCGTCGGATTGACAGGCGCCAAACGTCAAGACGCAGCTTTTCCTCGTTGCACTTTTAAGGGCGCTACGATGCCCTCGGTGGGAGTACGACTGTCGAAAACTAAGGAAAAAGGAAAAAGACATAGCCGCCGCCCCCCCCTCCCCCTCTCCCCCCCCCCCCCCCCCCCCCCCCCTCTTTTAGCGGCGAAAGTCTGCGGCTGCTCATTAGAAATATATTGACCTATTTGGCCCACCAGTACCACCGCATCGCGGCGGCGTGCCGGCCGGCCCAAGCCCCGCTGTCCTCCATTCACCCCCAAAAAGGAAGTGTTTCGTCAACAACATTCGTGTTTTTTTTTTTTTTTTTTTTTTTTCAGTGTTAATTCTAAAAGACAGATGTCGTAAATATCGCATAATACCTCAACAAAAAACAAAATTCTGAAGAAAAAAAAAAAAAAATTCCCCCGGGGGATTGAACGAAGATTCTGAGCTAATCCACGAAGATCCTGAGCTAATCCACAACTTAGAGTAGGCGTGTTTTCAACTGCCGGCACTTTTCCCCCCGGTTATTGTGCCGGCTGCCGGCAGAATAGAGACTACCAAGGAAAAACACGCAGTGCAAAAGCTGCTCGTGGCTAACCCTCAAGGGAACGCGCTACAACGCACGAAGAGTTCATATGGCGCCGATCTCGCTCAAGTGTGCGCGAAAGACGGGCGCATGCCCATGGTTCTGAAGACCACTGCGCGAGCACGTTCTATCACGTTGGTCTGTGTCAGAGATGTTCTACTTCCCATTCAATAAAGCCGCAAGAACGTCCACACACATCCCCGGGAATTCATGACATCCACAACCACCACAACAATCAAAAATCGACGGAGGACACGGCTCAGGATCCTGGATTGGATTGTTTCGTTTAGTTTCTTGCGAAGAGTTCGAATCAAAATTATTTTTACTTGGTCAATTATTTAATATTTTATTCCTTCTCAAAGTTAAAAAAAATATAGTTGACAGAAAGTAAACGTTACTTTCTACATAAAACGGAAATAGGGTTTTAGGGTAGTTCCATCAGTTCCACTTTCGTTTCGGGCGATGCGCCAAACGCTCGTTTTAATTGTTAAAGAGTCAAACAGATCTTCGCACATCGTAATTTCGCCGAGAAATGTTCGCGCGTCACAAGCGTCAAGCTGCCGGTGATCGTTGCCCAACCGAGTACAATGTCGTCCCGTATTGAAAATCGCAGTCGCGAGGATGCCGCCGACGTCGCACTCACGACGCCGCTAAAGCAGCCGCCGACATTATCCTGGAAGCCGCCAATATTATTATTATTATTTTTTTTTTTTAACTCTGCTCGTCCCTCTTTGGAGAAGCGCAAAGACGCACGCTATTTCCGAGAAATAGCGCACGCTAAGATTGCGCACGCAAAGTGCAAAACCTGGTTTGCGTTCGGAGTGTGCGCAGTGGCGACGACGCTATTCTTTGCGTACGCAAAGCTTTAGCATGCGCAATTCTAAAACTCCCTATTAATAATCTTACATTTCTTTAAAAAAATCGGCAGAATGGAAGCCATATGGCATATATTCCTCTCAATATTTTCTTCTGCAGCAAACCAAGAGCAAACACAGTTTCTCAATGTTAGTCGTTGTTGTTGTGCCCCAAACCCTTTCTAAAGTAACGATTTAACGCTCGTAGGTAAAATAGATCGGTAGCGATTTACGATCCCCACTATCCGAACAAGCTTTGGCGCGACCGGAAGGATCATATACGATTGACCAATGCGCCCGGATATCCACACATCAGATTACTATTTATTACAGTAACTTTCCGAATACATCGCGCATAACTGAAACAAGAACTTCGAGAAACTGGATTGGATTGATTTGAATTGGGTAAGGTTGATATTTTTCTTTTAATAAAATATTCATTCCGTTGTTGAAAAGTTTGGTTAAGGAAGCAAAAACAAAAATTGCAACACAAAATAAAAAATTACATTTAGAAATTTTACACAGACCGCTGACACCACTTGACACAAACACGATTACCAGAGAGTCACCCAATATACGAAAGTAGACAATCCAATCCAGTGCGTCGGGGGACCTTGCATTCTTGTGTCTTCGCGTCTGCCGCGTCTGCTGTATGTTTGCACCGGATGCGAAGAAATCCTCGTTTTTTTTTTTTTGAGAACTCTGCAGTTTATAATTTGTGACCAGATCCTTGAATCAGTCGCTCGAATCAAGCGGGGAGAGACGCGTTTCTTTGCTAATGTTGTAACCAAGTCGGGCTCGTTTGACCGCACAGTTCGAGGGGTCATTCGTCAAGATACCGCTCGTTACTATTATTATCATTTAATTCAAAACGACCTCGGGGTTCAGACAGTGTTCCGCCGATATGCTGTATGTGTGTCGTTTGAGGCGGTGGACTGGTCGTTGCGATGTGCTTTGCTGTGCTAGCACACGATATCTAGTTGCTTCGTGATACACGTTCGTCACGCATCTGAGCCCGCGAGGCCAACAACAAACTAATTTTCGAGTGGCGCTATGCGTGTTGCCGGAACAAAGATGGGCTCGCCGAGTGTTCGGGTACTCCATACTTCTCAAGCATGAACGCCCGATTGGTAGGAATGGTGCGGCAGGTCGCGGAGCGCTGTGATGTACCACGGGTGCTGCTCTACAAAGATGCAACATCGGAGGTGACAAAACAAGTACCGGAGACAACCAGATTGGTAGCCGTGGGCGGCACACGGCCGTCCCTTGCTGTCTACATTATGGGAAAGAAGACGATCGAACGTGTGGAGTTGTTCGACAACTCGCGGGGCAGCGGCATACTGTGCGGGGCGTGGAGTGCAGTCACGTTACCTCAGGGCCAAGTACATGGCAGGGCTTGACATTACGTGAATTACGTGTCTGCTACGCGGCCAGCACGAGGAAATGGCTTTCCACGCCGTGATGGAGTGTTGTGTGCTGAGGCCACTCGTGCCACCTGATGTGGATAACTGCCGTTACACCGGAGCTCGTGGTATTGAAACCGGCGTGGCAGGAACGGGCGACGTGTAGTGGCGATGCGTCCAATGTTCCGACGACGGATGGACACTGGAAAGCCCCTGTATCTGGGAAAAGTGGTGCATTCTCTTTCCTTCTCATTCAAAATACCCTCCTTAACCCACCTCTAGCTTCCGGTATGTGACGGAGGCGCCCTCTGGATGTCCCCAAGCGTCTCGATGTCTCACTCAGTTCAAGTGGCGCGACGCCGGTCGTGTAAACTTTTCTCGTCACATAAGTGTGGCAATGACCTCATTTAGATCCCTCATTTGCATCCGATTGCCCTGAAGCCGCTCTAGATCTGTTCGTCCAACTGTGAATCCCGAAAGTGCTTGGATAATTGCCCCAATCGTCCCTACTGTGTAGCATTATCGGTCAGTGTCTCGTGGGTACCTGTCTGCCCCTTCAGCTTCACAGGAATCGCAAATTGTTTTAATTATCATATAAAACCTCCAAATTGCAATTATATGCTTCATGATTTTACATGGTTCACCACCTCTTTTTATTGTGTGGAGAGAAAGCATACTTGTGCTTGTCGTACTGGCCTCGCTCACAGTTATGTTGAAACGGGGTATAGATGCATCCACATGTTTGCGTCTGCAGTCGCGAGGGTGTTGCAAGCTATGAACACTGTGCAAAACAAAGCATGATACGCAAGCATGTACGCCACACTTGACGAGCTAGCATACTCCGCACGCACCCGTAAGTGGGAGCGACGCCGATGCTCCAAGCACGAGCAGGAGCAGGCCATTTTAAAAGATGCTTATTTCCACGGCACAAGTGCCCGTGCATGCCCGGCCAGCAGTGTTGTGCTCGCTTTTGCATCGCTCTCGCTTACAGTGGAATAGGGTGCATAACTCACTCTAAACAGCTGTCTTTTTACATTCTGGTGAGCTTTATACAGAGCATCTACATGACACAAGTTTGCGGCTCCTGTAGGGTTGAAATCTTCGACAGATTCAATGAAGCAAGGTTTTTCTCCGAGGTTCATTTTACAAAAAAGCTGTGGTGTAGCTTTTTTGACACGCCGCAGCTTTCCCAAGCTGCGGCATAGGAACACCTTGGAAAAGCAATTGCGACCGGAAGTCCAAAACCGAAAGCAAGATGTCATGTGACGATTGGCCAACAGAGTGTGTGGCGGCTTGTTCAAAGAATGTTGTCACTTTTCCCAAGATAGAGGGGCTTTAGGGCACTGTGGTCTTGCCTGTGCCCTCAAGGAAGTGGAAATCAGAAAACGTGAGAGGAGTGGTGGGCAAAAAACATTGAGGAAGGAGGGGTGCCATGAAAACCAGGCTTGGGCCTTTCTTGTCTGTTTTTCTTACTGTTTTCATTTAGTTAGATTCATTTTTTTATTTAGGCCGTGGTCGCCTGGTACAAGAGTTTCAGCCAGTGTAATCTAATCCAAATCATTTTCTAGATTTTGAGGGGAGGAATTTTTCTGTGAAGTGCTTGCTCTCGGTCGCGCTGTGTCTACTCCCAGTCTATACCAAACCTAAAATGTAAACTAATCTTTGCAGGTTATACTTGATGTGTTTTAAAAACATGTGTTCAAATATCAGTTGAAACCTTTTGTTCACTTTGCAAAAGAACCACTGCACTGCATGCTGACCATCTCTTTTGCCTTTCAGGTACAGCAGCCCTGATGATTGTTATGGAAAAATAGAAAAAGAATTGTGCAACTCCATGGGAGAAGTCACGACTTGCCAGCACTCGCCCCAGACCATCCTCTTGTATTTTTTTTTTTTTTAAAGTGTGATGTGATGCTGTATGACAAGCAATTTCTTTCTCTCAGTGCATTTGTCATTCAAAGTTCATTGTTTCTCAAACAAGCACAAGATGGCTCCACTTTACAACAGCAAAAAGCCTAGTTTTCTATCCTGTTGTATGTTTACGAGTCATTGTATTGCCTCCGGTATTTTGTAGATAAACCTTACTACAAACAAACAGTGCAAAAAACAGATAAAGAAAAGGAAGCGAACATACCCTGCAACACTGTGGTGTGTTTGTCCCCCTTATTCGTCTGTCTTTTGTTTTGTTTGTTTTTAATAGTGGTCTACCAATAAACCGTCATCAGCTCTCCTTTTTATAGTTTCACTAATCAAACAATTTTTTCTTGTTTTTAGGGGTTTCATGTACTGTCTGATGTTGGGGTGTGGACTTGTGAATATATACATTGCGGCATGTTCATAATTGAGATACCATCTACAGTAAGGATGCTCAATTGACTGTCTTCGTTGCAGACAGTGCCCCTCATTCAAGCTAGTTCAATATTGCTGCTATTCCTAATGCTGGATCTTGTATGGCATTGGACGTAGCAGTAGACGAGACAAATGCTCGTTGCCATCAAAGGCATTGTCGTCCAGTTCCAGTTTTTTTTAACTGGGTCAAAGCTTTTAGACGTTTTGCGGAAGCTGGTAGTTCTACGGCTGACTATAGTCGCGGCAGGGCATTTCTCTTCGATGTCCAGCTTCCAGCATGCGCTCGCTGCCTTCCACCATGCTTGGGTTGTGCATGCAAGCTCAAGGCTTACAATGTACCGAAGCATTATAGAAGGCAGGAATCTTGCCTTGGAGGCGGGACAACTGGAGATTCTCCTTGCCGATCTATCCCTGTTAATGTCTAATCTTGCAGTTTTCCTGCTCTTTGCTGCATGCAAACGCTTCCTCGCCTCTTCATTGCTAACGTGAAAAACTTCCTGCACTTTTTTTTTTCTCCAGAAGAGATTCTCCCTGACCTGACAGGTGAACGCTTTCTCCGCTCGGAGTCCGGCAGTCGACTCTTCCTGGACGGGTACAAGGAATTCGTCTCTAGAGTCAAGGAAGGTTAGTTCTGGTACATGTTCTATCCATGCCATAGAAACATAACTTAAAGAGTGGCGTACAATAATGTTCGGTTGAAATGTTTCTCACTTTTCATAAGCGTACTGGCATTGTAGTTTACCCAAGTATACTCGCACGCAATGCCACTGACCAAACAGCTTCGTTATCACAGTGTTATTTGAAAGATAAAAACTTTAATTTAGTCTCTTCACTTTATGTCGTGTAGCTACCAAGGCAGATTGGTGCACCCCCTTTAAGTGTTGCACGCTCCCGATTGCGTTTACGGTGAAGTGATAATTTTAGGGAAAATATTTCTGAGGCAGTAATTGTGGCTTAACACACCTTGCCTTTAGTTTTCTGGAGGGAAGGAGTGATAAGTTGGTTCCTCTGCTTGGTTCCCCATACAAAAAGCTTGTTTGTGTTCCAGATTTGTGTCCTAATAACATCGGCAGTTTATTCGTATTCCTACCCGCATCCGACCTAGAATTCAACTTTTTCTTTTACTTTTGACTCGAATGGGTACTGAAACAAAATTCTAGCAGGTGTCTAAATGTCGACTATATTGTGACAGCACCGGGAAAACACCAACTTTTTGTTTGAAAGGACACAGAATCTTTGTTTGCAACGAATAAAACAATTACCAAATTGCACCTGGCGCAGGCTCCCAAAGCTACTTGCAATGTCGTTACATCAACCTTCCCCAAAAACCAGCGCTGCTCCACAGAAGTACTACGCTGAGCTCCAAGTGCGTGTAGGCTGTTATACTTGGCCGAACCAGATTTCCCTTCTCTCCCTTGCCTCTTCAACTCCTGCAGATGGGGAATAAAAAGGAAAAAGGGGGTGAGACCGAGAGGAGGAGTAGGTCAGTGTAGTTTGGGAGAGTAAGTGACTCACCTCTTCTCCACCTGTGTCTGCCGTGACGTCCAACCAGCCCCCGGGTATCTCGAGCGGCTGGGTTTCAACGCGTCGATGCCCCCAAGTGGCATAGCTTATAACCAAGCCAGTCTCGCCGTAGCCTTTCCGATGAACGGAAACGTACGTAACATCACAAACGCAATGGAGGCACCGAATTTTCTGAAACGCATCATTCCCCCGAGGGCTGCTCTTCGAGCGCTTGCCAGAATCGGCTTTTTAGAACAAAAGATATGGCCACCCGTTCAAAATACTAGCGTGCGACTGTCTTTCGCAGATATTGTTTATTCTGCCTAACCTATTTTCATGTGAGAGGTATATTTTAATTTTCATTTCAGTATCTTTAAAGAGAAAGTTTTGTTGCATGTGCCCGCGTGCCAATGGAAATCTTGCTAAGCCATGCTTATTATGCATTTAGCTTTTGGAACACCGTAGAGAAACATCAATGAGGAGTGCCCAGAGGTGGATTTTGCCAAATACACATTTTAAAACTGGTGGTTAAGCAAACTTGGTGTAGGAGTTGGTGACTAAGAGAGGGGCAGTTGTGGCTGCCTTAAAAACCGCATGCAGTGCTTCAAGAAGCGTTGCAAGCCGAACGGCAGAATCCTGACGGGGCAGCACTTTGCGGGCTTGCAACTTATTTCCGCCAGATAACAGCACCGTAGCAGCACTTTTTTCAGGGGCAGTATGGTAACCATCAGCATCCTTGAGATGAAAGACCACTAGTGTTTAACCCTTTGATGGTCAAGTTTTTTTTCTAAAAGATGTTTCCCAGCTGTCAGGTATTGTTTTCAAACAAGTATTGTGAAGAAGTGGTCAATGCGCAGGTTTTTTCTTAATTATTTCACGGTAGCACATACAGTGCTTGCACGCTGTTAAGGTTTAGAACCATCAAACTAATAAATTGAAGGTGAATATTTGTCACCTTTTTTTCTATTCGGTTTCATTTTTGCGCATCTGCTTCTGCAACATTGCAGCGGCTTCAGATTCCTACCCGGAGGTACTTTACAGAACTTTTCCGTCGGATGATTAGCTCTCATCCTCTGAACCTAATTCCTAAGAGCGTTAGAAGTTTGAACTGGAACAGCCAGTGCTTTCGACACTACCGCCAGAGCGGTCGTTATGTTAAGTTAGCCCAGCAATCCGAAACACCGTGTGAATACAACGTTTATAGTTCACAGAAGACATAGCAGCACACCTACCGCGGTGCGCACAGTTTTGCGTTAGGGTGAGCACTTTCAAATGCGTAATCACCGACGTCCGTCATAGGGTTAAAGGGGTGGTTTAATGATATTTGTATTTTCAGTGAACATCACTTAGAATTAAAGGATGGTTCACACACTTGCGTTTGCTTATGAATAAGTTCTTGTGATCTCTTACGAGAGAACATAGTGGCACGCCGGCACCATTTATAAGTAGGCCCTGGATCTGCATTTCACTAGAGCGAAGTTTTCTCACTACTTGCTAGAAGCTTTTCACCATTTACGAGATGAAATGTACTCTTTAGGATAAATGGTCATTTATAACATTGTGAAACGTTCTTAAGGCACTGAAGAATGATGGACGAAAAAATTAGGAATATAGAAAAAAGTGTTTTACACTCCTGATAGATTGCACCAATCCGCTCTTTCGTCTCAAGAGATCACAAAAACTCCGTCCGTAACTCGGGTGCGGTGTTCTCGGTTTTTATTTTTTCTAAATTCGGTGTGCTTTTTCAGTTTTTGTCTAAAAAGCAAATTTTCAGGATTTTCGGGTGAATATTTTACAGGCATAAAAGTTTTTTCTTGTTTTTTTGGTTACTCTTTGTGCAGTAACCCCAATCAACCCAAAACCGTATGTGGTCATTGTTGTGCATGTCTTTTTGTCAGCACTGGGTGAATTTTTACGAATGATTGTGCTTAGCACGGTGCTGTCACGGCGCGAGTGCATTTTCTATATGAAAGGTGACTATCTGGAACCTATGTGATTGGGCCTAAAACTCAACACGACAATTTTGTATGATAAGATTTGTTTTCATTTCAATTTTTGTGCTTACAGTTGTTAAAATAAGTTTTTTCCATTCCAATTTGTAAGGCTAAAAGAATGATTAAACATACATATAAAAGTACAGACGAGGCAGGTATCGGCACATATTATGCCTAGGTTGAACATAAAAAAGAACCTTAAGTTTCACTGGTAATCTGCATTGTAATTACTTTATCTGATTGGAATAAATCCACCTGTGGTTTTTGAGGTTTTCTCTAGTAATGCACACACATTATTTTCTGTTAGTAACAGTCTGGCTTGAGAACAACTTGTCACCATTCTCGACGGCTGCTCAACGTTTCCTTTTCATACGAGTGGTCATAAATTTATGCTCAGATATGGCAAGCTGCCAAATGCAAAGTACTGAAGTAACTAAAGCTGATCAATTGGTCAAATGGGTGCCAAAATACAATCGGTATGAAATTTCTAAGCATCGCATACTTTATGTACTCTTAAAACTCTGGCTGCAATGCGCGACTCTCGGCATTGGTTTCAAGAAAAACTTTGAAAATGCCCCCCCCCCCCCCCATACATTGACCAGTTGCATAACAATTCGGTCATTGAAAACAATCCAAACCCTCTCTCTAGAGAACTGATCATTTGGCACAAAAATTGGGGTTACAAAGGAGAACAAAAATTGTGACTCCCAAAATATTGTTTATTGTTGAGCTCTCCAAAGCATAAAGTGAGAGGATGCTGACACTCTATAAAAAAAGTGCATCACAAGGTCACACAATAACAACCTCCCTCCCTTGACCCCCCCCAAGAAGAACAGTTCATTAGCTGTGCCATACCACTCTAAAATGCTACCCATTTTCACTTCGGTGCCAGTTAGCTTCTGTAAATTGACAAACATTCTAACCCAAGAGCATTGCCCAGCCCCTTTGAAAGCGTACAGAAACCAAATTTTGGAGGTCGTCTCTTTGCTTCAGCTTGAAGCAGGTTAGAGTAGGACTTCACCAGTAGAAATATTTCATAGGTATATGCGACAAAACATTTTAAACTGGATAAAACGATAACCAAAAGTCAGCTGGTGGACGTCTGTGAAGCTTTAATAGGATGTCGCGAGGCGCTTTGGTGATGAAAGTCGCAACGGAGTTGGCCACCATAGATTTTGGTTTCAAGCGGCCCTTCCGGCAATGCTTGTGTGGGGTTGTTTGGGGCATGACCAGGTTTTGTGTTACGAAATGTTGATCTAAACAGGCCCGAAGGTCCACCTATGTTGATGACGGAATAGCCGCCTTGGTTGAATGCTACGCATACTCAATCACTGTCAAGTCAGCATAACCACCATCAATGCTAAAGAGACTGCCCGCACGGCTCTGCAGAGTGGCGTACATAGAAACTAGGGATGTCGCGAACCACCCTAGGTTCGATTTCGAAAGGTTTCGATATTTGCGAAGCGAACTGAGGTTCGATTTCGAAAAATTTCGATATTTTCGTACCGACCGAGGTTCGATTTCGAAAAATTCGCAACTTTTGTCCACAGCGGAGTTTCGAATTCGAAAATTTCGAAGCTTTCACGGTTTCTAAAATTTCGAATTCGAATATTTCGAATATTTTTTTACTTCAGGTTCGATAAATTCGAAGATTTCGAAATTCTTTGTAAAAAAAATTCGAAAACTTCGAACGCTTCGAATTTTTATAGACATGAAGTTCGAACAATTCGAAGATTTCGAATTTCTTTTGGCATAAAGTTCGAAAAGTTCGAAAGTTTCGATTCTCTTTTAACGCTAAATTCAAAAAAAAAAAAAAAAAAAAAACTTTGAAGATTTTGAATTTTTTTTTAATCCAAGTTTTCAAAGTTTGAAGTCCGATTTTCAAGTTTTTCTACAGTTTCAGTTTCAAATAACGTTTTCACGACTCACTTGTTTTTTTAACAAAATCAAGTTTAGAAAAGTTAGGGTGTGATATCTAGATTCTGCGAAGTTGGTAAGGCAATTAAATGAGACGACGAGTGTCCCGGACGTGCTAGAATATTTGCCAGTGCAGAATTGTGACCGCCAGCCCCCGGGGGGGGGTCTTTATCACGCAGTAGTGATTGCACGAACACACTGTTTTACGAG